GTTTTTGCCTTGTTTAACCAGAAAATGGACTTTTATGTTTTCGCTCAAAACTCGAGATTTAGTATGGAATAAAAGTGATCTCAGATTTTCATTGCTTTTGCCCTAGGGCCTATAGTTTGGCCAGAAAATGGACTTTTATGTTTTCGCTTAAAACTCGAGTTTTAGTAGGGAATAAAAGTGATCACAGATTTTCACTCTTTTTGCCCTAGGGCCTATAGTTTAGCCAGAAAATGGACTTTTATGTTTTCGCTCAAAACTCGAGTTTTAGTAGGGAATAAAAGTGATCAGAGATTTTTATTGTTTTTGCCCTAGGGCCTGTAGATTAGCTAGAATTTGGACTTTTATGTTTTCGTTCAAAACTCGAGTTTTAGTACGGAATAAAAGTGATCACAGATTTTCATTGCTTTTGCCCTAGGGCCTATAGTTTAGCCAGAAAATGGACTTTTATGTTTTCACTCAAAGCTCTAGTTTTAGTAGGGAATAAAAGTGATCACAGATTTTCATTGTTTTCGCCCTAGGGCCTATAGTTTAGCCAGAAAATGGACTTTTATGTTTTCACTCAAAACTCAAGTTTTAGTAGGGAATAAAAGTGATCACAGATTTTCATTGTTTTCGCCCTAGGGCCTATAGTTTAGCCAGAAAATGGACTTTTATGTTTTCACTCAAAACTCGAGTTTTAGTAGGGAACAAAAGTGATCACATATTTTCATTGTTTTTGCCCTAGGACCTATAGTTTAGCCAGAAAATGGACTTTTATGTTTTCACTCAAAACTCGAGTTTTAGTACGGAATAAAAGTGATCACAGATTTTCATTGGTTTTGCGCTAGGGCCTATAGTTTTGCCAGAAAATGGACTTTTATGTTATGGCTCAAAACTCGAGTTTTAGTACGGAATAAAAGTGATCACAGATTTTCATTGTTTTTGCCCTAGGGCCTATAGTTTAGCCAGAAAATGGACTTTTATGTTTTCACTCAAAACTCGAGTTTTAGTACGGAATAAAAGTGATCACAGATTTTCATTGTTTTTGCCCTAGGGCCTATAGTTTAGCCAGAAAATGGACTTTTATGTTTTCACTCAAAAATCGAGTTTTAGTAGGGAATAAAAGTGATCACAGATTTTCATTGGTTTTGCGCTAGGGCCCATAGTTTAGCCAGAAAATGGACTTTTATGTTTTCGCTCAAAACTTGAGTTTTAGTACGGAATAAATGTGATCACGGATTTTCATTGTTTTTATCCTAGGGCCTATAGTTTAGCCAGAAAATGGACTTTTATGTTTTCGCTCAAAACTCGAGTTTTAGTAGGGAATAAATGTGGTCACAGATTTTCACTCTTTTTGCCCTAGGGCCTATAGTTTAGCCAGAAAATGGTCTTTTATGTTGTCACTCAAAACTCGAGTTTTAGTAGGGAATAAAAGTGATCAGAGATTTTCATTGTTTTTGCCCTAGGGCCTATAGTTTAGCCAGAAAATGGACTTTTATGTTTTCGCTCAAAACTCGAGTTTTAGTAGGGAATAAAAGTGATCACAAATTTTCATTGTTTTTGCCCTAGGGCATAGAAAATGGAGTTTTAGCAGGGAACAAAAGTGATCACAGATTTTCATTGTTTTTGGCCTAGTTTAGCCAGAAAATGGACTTTTATATTTTCGGTCAAAACTTGAGTTTTAGTACAAAATAAAAGTGATCACAGATTTTCATTGTTTTTGCCCTAGGGCCTAGAAAATGGACTCTTATATTTTCGCTAAAAACTCGAGTTTTAGTACGGAATAAAAGTGATCACAAATTTTCGTTGTTTTTGTCCTAAGGCCTATTGTTTAGCCAGAAAATGGACTTTTATGTTTTCACTCAAAACTCGAGTTTAACTCCCGTATTCAGTATCTCGGACGAAAATTTTATTTTCAATATTAATATGAAAAGCACTCAAAAATATTTAAAAACTGAGTAATTTTCATACAAATTTTAAAAATAAAATGTCCGTCTGAAATACTGAATACGGGGGTAAGTACGGAATAAAAGTGATCACAGATTTTCATTGTTTTTGCCCTAGGACCTATAGTTTAGCCAGAAAATGGACTTTTATGTTTTCGCTAAAAACTCGAGTTTTAGTAGGGAATAAAAGTGATCACAGATTTTCATTGTTTTTGCCCTCGGGCCTATAGTTTAGCCAAAAAGTGGAGTTTTATGTTTTCACTCAAAGCTCGAGTTTTAGTACGAAATAGAAGTTATCACAGATTATCATTGTTTTTGCCCTAGGGCCTATAGTTTAGCCAGAAAATGGACTTTTATGTTTTCGCTCAAAACTTGTGGTTTAGTAGGGAATAAAAGTGATCATAGATTTTCATTGTTTTTGCCCTAGGGCCTAGAAAATAGACTCTTATATTTTCGCTCAAAACTCGAGTTTTAGTACGGAATAAAAGTGATCACAGATTTTCATTGTTTTTGCCCTAGGGCCTATAGTTTAGCCAGAAAATTGACTTTTATGTTTTCGCTAAAAACTCGAGTTTTAGTAGTGAATAAAAGTGATCACAGATTTTCATTGTTTTTGTCCTAGGGCCTATAGTTTAGCCAGAAAATGGACTTTTATGTTTTCACTCAAAACTCGAGTTTTAGTAGGGAATAAAAGTGATCACAGATTTTCACTGTTTTTGCCCTAAGGCCTAGAAAATGGACTTTTATATTTTCGCTCAAAACTCGAGTTTTAGTAGGAAATAAAAGTAATCACAGATTTTCATTGTTTTTGCCCTCGGGCCTATAGTTTAGCCAAAAAGTGGAGTTTTATGTTTTCACTCAAAGCTCGAGTTTTAGTACGAAATAGAAGTTATCAAAGATTATCATTGTTTTTGTCCTAGGGCCTATAGTTTAGCCAGAAAATGGACTTTCATGTTTTCACTTAAAACTCAAGTTTTAGCACGGAATAAAATTGATCACAGATTTTCATTGTTTTTGCCCTAGGGCCTAGAAAATGGACTTTTATGTTTTCGCTCAAAACTCGAGTTTTAGTACGGATTAAAGTGATCACAGATTTTCATTGTTTTTGCCTAGGGCCTATAGTTTAGCCAGAAAATGGACTTTTATGTTTTCGCTCAAAACTCGTGGTTTAGTAGGGAATAAAAGTGATCATAGATTTTCATTGTTTTTGCCCTAGGGCCTAGAAAATAGACTCTTATATTTTCGCTCAAAACTCGAGTTTTAGTACGGAATAAAAGTGATCACAGATTTTTGGCCTAGGGCCTATAGTTTAGCCAGAAAATTGACTTTTATGTTTTCGCTAAAAACTCGAGTTTTAGTATTGAATAAAAGTGATCACAGATTTTCATTGTTTTTGTCCTAGGGCCTATAGTTTAGCCAGAAAATGGACTTTTATGTTTTCACTCAAAACTCGAGTTTTAGTAGGGCATAAATGTGATCACAGATTTTCATTGTTTTTGCCCTAGGGCCTATAGTTTAGCCAGAAAATGATCTTTTATGTTTTCGCTCAAAACTCGAGTTTTACTACGGAATAAAAGTGATCACAGATTTTCATTGCTTTTGTCCTAGGGCCTATAGTTTAGCCAGAAAATGGACTGTTATGTTTTCGCTCAAAACTCGAGTTTTAGTAGGGAATATAAGTGATCACAGATTTTCATTGTTTTTGCCCTAGTTCCTATAGTTTAGCAAGAAAATGGACTTTTATGTTTTCACTCAAAAATCGAAAGGAAAGTTATCACAGATTTTAATTGTTTTTCCCTAGAGCATTGTATTTTTGACATAGGGGTCTAATTTATCCAGAAAATCAATTCTTTAGGGGGATATTAGAGTGATCACACTTTTATATTTTCACTCAAAAATCGATTTTTTGTGGTTTTTCACTAAAAAATAAGGTTTTGTTAGGGAATAAATGTGACCACAGATTTTCATCCGTTTCCTCTAGCTGCTCTTGTTTAGCTAGAAAATAGACTTTTGGATTTTTATTAAAAAAAAAATTAATTTTGGTAAAAACTAAAAGTGATTACAGATTTTTATCGTTTTCCTCCTAGCGCTTCTCGTTTTGTTAGAAAATGGACTTTTAGTTTTTCATTCAAAAATTGAACGAAAAGAGCTAGAGAACTAAAATTTTCCGCAAATATTCTTTATAGGTAAGGTTTATGTGGTATTGCAAATGGGCAATACCGGTTCACGATTTCGCATAGCCTCCATACAAGTGGCCCACCGAAAAACAACTTTAACAGTCATAATCGTTTTAAAAATACGAATATAGCTGAGAAATTCGACATGAATAATTTTCATATGAGCCAAAATCTCTCGGGTGGTCGATCTATAATTTACCCCACCCCCCATATAAGATCCCCTTTAGAAAATGACTTTAGTACTCATTACTGAAATTACTAAAAATACGAGTATCGCGATGAAATTCGACATAAATAATTTTTATATGGGCCAAAATCTCTCAACCAAATTTTATGAGAATCGGTCTATAAGTGGCCCTATCCCCCATATAAGGTAATCTTCAGAAAACGACTTTAACCCCCATTACTTAAAAATACGAGTTCATGGATGAAATTCGACACAAACATGCCGAAATATTGTTATCAAATTTTGTGAAATGTTTCTATCAAAATTATTTGAATGAAATGTTGATAAAACTCATAGGTTTCATTAAAAATCAAAAATTTAAATCAAAATTTAAAAAAAATAAATTAAAATATATATATATGGAGTTTAATTGCAGTATTTTATGCAAAATATAATATTCCAAGCTATATATAAATACAACATGGATAAATAAACTTTATCTTAATGAAATTTTAATCTGTCTATATTAGTCAAAATTTCTAATGGGAATTAAGCAAACAATCAGTATTGATATTGATGTTAACAAATGTTGAAATAGAATACTTATTAGGTTTGCATTTAAGGTTAAATAACTGTCAGAATCTGGAAATGTAACTGACAATTTAAAGTCTTTTTTTCAAATGTTAACCACTTTAAGAACTAATCACAAGACATTAACACATTAATACTTACATCTTTACTCCAGTGTACTACATATGGTATGGGAAAATCATATGGAAAATCAATATAACAATTAAAAACAGCATATGAACCAACTTTTGCCTCCATATTTGTTGATTTTTGACGATCATGACGTGCACCTGACACACAGGATACACTAATTAAAATTAAAAACAACGACAACAATAACAGAAATGCAAAAAATCTATAGCTGCCGCCATTATGATGGCAAAATATCATCATTTTACTTTTCATGATGATGATGATGTTGATAATGGCGTTGTTGTCCCCGCTGTTTCTTATTATTATTTTTTTTTCTATTTAATGACGATTAAAACAAATATTTATTGTGTGGTATTTTATAAAGCGTGTATTACTTTTAATTTAATAATATTAAATATTTTTCTTTTAAATTATTTAATTTATTTAGACATTAGTTAATAAGCACAAAAATGTAATGATGAAAATGCTTGAAAGCTAAACCACAAACACATTAATAAACATTTCATAGTCTTGGCATATAATTTTAATAAAATTTGTTGTTCTTTTTTGTTTAGGTTGTTGTTGTTTTTGTTTTTGTTTCTTTCTTGTATTTAATTAAATTTGTACCATTTTACAGTTTTATATGATGCAATTAATATGTGGTTTTAAGAGCTCTTTGGATAATTATGTACGAAATGAACTTTATTAATTAAAGAATTTAATTGAAACAACAACAATTTATATGAATTTTTTTTTGAGGGTTAGACACAAGTACTTGGTATGTGATAACAAGTAATTTTTTTTTGTATTATTTTTTTTTCTTGTGTCTTTTTGTAAAAACAAAATTAATTAATTGCGTCTCTTTTATTTGATATTTTGTTGTTTTCGTATTTGGTTTCAGTTGATTAATTTAACTTGTGCATTTAAAATATATGGTAAATTAAAATATTCTCAGTATTAAAAATATTTTCACAATTCATTGAATTTTTGCTATTTATGATAGGAAATCAGTAAATTTTAAATTAAATAATCTCTGTCTTCTGTTCGTTTTAAACAAACGGGTCAAGTGTTCTTTTTTTTGTCGTTTTTATTTATTTCAGCTTCAAATGAACATGTACACTGTAAAATCTTTTAGTGATTCGCTTTCATAAAGATTTATTTAAATCAAAGAGCTCTTCTAGTCACACAAATCCACTCTCATAATATTTAATTTGCACTTTTTCTACTGCTGATGTTGTAGGAGTCGAATTTTCCGTATTTAATTTAAAACGTAACGTTCACAATGATCTCAAAACCGCAACTGAAAATACTAAGCTCGAAACTACAACGTTAGAGCAGTTAGCTAGTTAAGCAATCATCACAATGGTGATGATGATGATGACGATCTCTAGTGATAGTTGGAAATTCTAATGTCGTTCAAAGCTTTCGTTCTTTATCGTAATTAGTTTGTTTATTGTTATATACAAATACGTTACAAATTGTAATTAAGTTTTAGTTGAGTACATATTTTATTTTGTCTAATAGAGAATATTACAAGAGAATATTGCTAACAATTTACAATTAGAGAAATGCTTAAATAGTTGGTTTTTAAATTCTCAGAATTAAAAACAAAGAATTTAAATTCATTACTCATGCATTGGAAATTTTTCGAAGGCATTTAGTTTTAAATGTAGGGTGGGTCAACAATCTAAGATGTTGTCGTCATTGTTTTAGAATTCTGTGATAGATTTATCTAATTATTAAAGCACTTTTGTAGGAAAAAGTATATGTATTCTTCCTGCAAAATCCGATGATAAGTACCAGCAAGAATAAGTAGCCGCCAAAATTTAAATTTTGTTGCCAAGTGTATAAGAAATGTCTGTGATCAATCACGGGTAGATCATAAAGAAATATGTATGTATAATCGTAGCAACGCATTCAGGAACCCAAATGTTCGGCCATAAAGAACCAACTAACTAACTAACTAACTAACTAACTAACTAACTAACTACTAACTAACTAACTAACTAACTAACTAACTAACTAACTAACTAACTAACTAACTAACTAACTAACTAACTAACTAACTAACTAACTAACTAACTAACTAACTAACTAACTAACTAACTAACTAACTAACTAACTAACTACTAACTAACTAACTAACTAACTAACTAACTAACTAACTAACTAACTAACTAACTAACTAACTAACTAACTAACTAACTAACTAACTAACTAACTAACTAACTAACTAACTAACTAACTAACTAACTAACTAACTAACTAACTAACTACTAACTACTAACTAACTAACTAACTAACTAACTAACTAACTAACTAACTAACTAACTAACTAACTAACTACTAACTAACTAACTACTAACTAACTAACTAACTAACTAACTAACTACTAACTAACTAACTAACTAACTAACTACTAACTAACTAACTAACTAACTAACTAACTAACTAACTAACTAACTAACTAACTAACTAACTAACTAACTAACTAACTAACTACTACTAACTAACTAACTAACTAACTAACTAACTAACTAACTAACTAACTAACTAACTAACTAACTAACTAACTAACTAACTAACTAACTAACTAACTAACTACTAACTAACTAACTAACTAACTAACTAACTAACTAACTAACTAACTAACTAACTAACTAACTAACTAACTAACTAACTAACTAACTAACTAACTAACTAACTAACTAACTAACTAACTAACTAACTAACTAACTAACTAACTAACTAACTAACTAACTACTAACTAACTAACTACTAACTAACTAACTAACTAACTAACTAACTAACTAACTAACTAACTAACTAACTAACTAACTAACTAACTAACTAACTAACTACTAACTAACTAACTAACTAACTAACTAACTAACTAACTAACTAACTAACTAACTAACTAACTAACTAACTAACTAACTAACTAACTAACTAACTAACTAAACTAACTACTAACTAACTAACTAACTAACTAACTAACTAACTAACTAACTAACTAACTAACTAACTAACTAACTAACTAACTAACTAACTAACTAACTAACTAACTAACTAACTAACTAACTAACTAACTAACTAACTAACTAACTAACTAACTAACTAACTAACTAACTAACTAACTAACTAACTAACTAACTAACTAACTAACTAACTAACTAACTAACTAACTAACTAACTAACTAACTAACTAACTAACGAACTACTAACTAACTAACTAACTACACTAACTAACTAACTAACTAACTAACTAACTAACTAACTAACTAACTAACTAACTAACTAACTAACTAAACGAACTAACTAATCTAACTAACTAAACTAAACTAACTAACTAACTAACTAACTAACTACTACTAACTAACTAACTAACTAACCTAACTAACGACTAACTACTAAACGAACTAATAACTAACTCTAAAACTAACTAACTAACTAACCATAACTTCGTGGATGATATCTCGGCAAATGCAAACGATTTTCAACGACTCACAAAAATATGAACAACCAAGATTGTTACATTTTAAGTGATTTTTGGGAATAAGACCTATATAAAGACTTTTAAATTCGGTCCTTTTGTTATTTTACCACGATTACATGAACATTAATACTGTTTTCGGAATAATGCATTTAATGGGGTAGGGTCTATATGGGGGGGTATGATCAATTATATACCGATCCTTATAAATTTTTTAAGAATATTTCGGTTTATATAAAACATGTTTATGACGAATATCATCGCTGTACTCGTATTTTTAAGTCTGTAATGAACGTTAAAGTAATTATCAAAAGATGACCTCTTATTTGACATAAGGTCAATTATGGACCGATCGTCATAAATTTTGTTAGACTGATTTTGGATCGTATAAAACACATTTATGTTGAATTCTATTGCTTCTTTGTCAGTAATGACAAAGATACTGTTTGTGTAGTGAGATTAGTGTGTTTTAGCCAGTTATGACTGTTTAAACTGTATTCCGGGGGCCATTTGTATGGCGGCTATGTGAAATCATCCACCGATATAGCCTATTTTCAATATGAAACTAATTGCATTAATGGAGAATTTTTGTGTATAGTTCAAGCTCCCTAGCTCTTCATATTCGTACTCTATCGTGCTTTCAACAGACAGACGGACAGACCTTAGGACAAGGCTATATCGTCTCAGAATTTAATAAGGACCTAGAATATATTATTTTGTGGGTATTTAGAAGTGTTATAAAAGTAATAATCAGATAAACAATTTTTTTAAATTTAAGAAGACTTCATTCGTATTCACTTCATAAGTAATCAATTAATCTTACCTGACAACCAGTCCAGTACAAGAATAAAATCATTTCTCATTTATTTTTTTATAATTTTTTTATTTGTTTTTTATTTTTGTCATTTCTTATAATTTTTTTTATATGTTTTTAAAAATTGTTCACTCAACTTAACCACATAAGAGTTTGTTTTTCTTTTTTTTTAATTTTAATTCATAATTTCTCTTTCTTAAACTTGTTTTATTATTTTTTTTCTTTTTGATTTATAATTAAATTATAATTTATTTATTTTTGTGTTTTTTTTTCTAAAGAAAATGTACAGTAGTTGTTGTGGTTGACATTAATTTAAAAATAATATAAATAAAAAATTATTATTATGATACAGATAAAGAGATATTAGTTTGTACTTAAATATTTTATTTTAGTTAGAAATAAAAACAAATTATAAATAAATTATTTTATATTGAATAAATTTAAAATAAATTTAAAAACAAACAAAAACTTTTTGTTGATGTTGCAATAATTAGACTTTTTTGTTTTTATTTTATATAAAAGTATTTTTTTTATATTAATTTATTAATTGTTATTTTATTATTATTAACTATTTAAATAGTTTTAGTTTTTTTTTGCTAATTTTTTAAATAGAAAAAAATTAAGTAATGTTTAACATAAATTTTTAGAAAGTTTACTTTATTGGTTTTTTTCATGGAATTTAGAAAATACGTTTTTTTGTTTGGTTTATAATTTTTTTATCTTCACATTTTTTTTAGATTTATTTAACAAAAACATAATTTGAAATTTTGTTTTAAATTTTTTTTTTTTTGTTAATTTTTTGTGTTTTCTTTTTTTAATTTAATTTAATAAATATGTTAATAACAGTTAAAACCCTTTTTGTATTTTTTAATATTTTTTTGTTATTTTTATGTGTGATTAATAAAAGGGCTTCTAAAGCGTCAGAATTTTTTTTTATGTTTTGTTCTTAAATAATGTTTCAATAATCGTTTAATCTTTTTGTTTTCAGTAATTTTACTTTGTTATTTTAGAATTTTTAAGTTTTATTTTATTTATGATTATTTTTTCTTTTCTTTTAAAGTCTGTTTTAGTTTTGTGTTTTTTCTTACTGTTCATGTTTTAGTTAAAATTTCTTATAATTTTTTTCTTTTCGTTTTTTTTTAACTTAATTATTTTCATTTATTTATTTATAATATTTGCTAATTTATTAAGTAAACGTGTATGTTTTGTTTTCTGTTGTTTTAATTTTATTTATTCTTTTGCTCATATTCAGTTTTTATGGATTTTTGTTTTTTTTTAATATAAAAAATGTAAACAAAAAAATTTCACAACTTACTTACAATCTAAAATTGTTTTATATTAATATTTATTACATTCCTAATAGCTTTGGGGTAAAATTAAATTCAAAAAATTCTGTAATATAAAATCCAACAAGTTTTCACAATTTTTATAGAAAAAATTTTTAAATTGCTAGAAAAGCTTAAATTTTCATTAAAAATTTCAAAAAAATCTTAATATTAATAAAAAGCTAAAAGCAACTATATTTTGTTTATTTGTCGCAAACAATTCTGACAACTTCAAATTTATTAATGATTTAATAGCTTTTTAATTGTATTGCCTCGGTTTTGTTAATTAACCCCCAAAAGTATGCAATTTATCTCAGTATTAATTTGAAAATAATCATACGTCATGGTTGTATGCTTTCATTTACATTTAATAGCGACAATAATCATACGTATAGTGGTCTTTTATATGTTCTATGTACATACGTGCTCCATAAAGTATGCACTAGTTTTAAGTATTATAATATAATTAAGGACTTTGCGTGTATGTATTACGACATTAATCATACGTTATGTAGTCTAACACCTTTTATAGTTTGAAAAGTAAAATATTGATTTTTTGAACATAATTTAACATGTTCTTCAGTGTTTTAATCAATGGTTGGAAATTAGGGTGGCCCCGTTTGTATGAAGGAAAACTAAGGTGTCAATTTTCCCAACTAAAATTAAAGTT